CTTGACTCCATTGGCTGCGGCTTTGAGATCAGGCCAAGGTCTTGATGACGTCAGGATGCTTTTGATGGTGGAGACCGGCAGTTGTGAAAGGATAAGGCCTGCTCTGTCATTGGCTCTTTCAGGTGGCACTCCATGTTGAGTGAGCAGCGTTGTCAATTTGTTCATGTCTGATGCGTCCAATTTGGCCCCTCCAAGCGGGAGGTGGTGAATAAGCTGGGCTCCTGTCTCCTTCTCCAGGAGTTCTCTCACGAACAACTGTCTCCATTGGGCAGCTCTGGTGGCTGAAATCGCGGTCAATGGGCCATCGTGCAACAGAGCGATAAGCCATGCCAATGTCTGAAAACCGCAATCTGCCTGGAAAACCTGTGGGAGAAGCTTTTGCGACACTTCAATGGTTTTGTTCTGGGCATGGGCAAGTTGCGTGGCAAGAGGAATCAGGCAAGTTCCTTCTGGCGTAGTGACGAATTGGATTGATGTCTCGTGATGCTTGATGATCACTGGTACCCAATGAGATGCAACAATGGCAGCGGAGCACCATGGCTTGGACTTTTCAAGGCTGTCAAAGGCGAGTTCCATCCATTCACCTGCAGTTGCGTCAGCATCTGCTTCATGCAGAAACACTGTAGTTGGAAATGGGTATGCTCGATCATCAATCAGGGTGGCTTCAAGATAGAAGTTCATCTCGTCTGTGGCGACCCATGCCTGTTGGTGCCACAATGCTTCGAGTCTGGTGCAGGGCAGAATTTCACTCAGCACGCTGGGAGGTTGCACAAATCGTGAATTCACGAAAGGGCATTTGAAACACTTAGGCAAAGTCTGGAAAAGGAGCACATGCTGGTCGGGATGGAGCGTGGTGTCCAGAGGCAAGTGCGTACCGACCAATGATCGTGGCACAATCGGCATGTTCAGAGCTCCTAGATTGGCTTCGGCTTTGGTCACTCTTCCTACCGTGCAGTCTGTCGGAACTGTACATGGGATTGGATGTTTTGACTGTTCAGTCTTGACAAAGATGGTCATGGCCTCATTGCTTTTCAGCTGCAGGTTGGGTGTCTCGGATGAATCGAAGGTTTGCATGCTGGTTTCATGGGTCTCAAGATCCGTTCTGACTTCATTCCTGTCTGAATGTTCTCTTTTTCCATCAGGGGAGGGGCCCTCGCACCCTAAGCGTGGTGAGGGCATGGCCTGAAAGAGGGTGGGTGGGGCATCACGGCAGTCAAAAGGCTGAGAAACATCGGCGCCTGCTGCAGTTGATACAAAATCACTTGTGCATCCACCACCATGGGAGGGGCCCTCGCACCCTAAGCGTGGTGAGGGCATGGCATGAAAGCGGGTGAGTGGGGTATCAAGGCAATCACTTGGCTGGGAAGCTTTGGCACCTGCGACTGGCAATTCATAAACACTTACACATCCACCTACATGGGATGGGCCCTCGCACCCTAAGCGTGGTGAGGGCATGGCATCTCGGCGGGTGGGGGAGGCGTCATGGCTGTCACAAGGCTGAGACACTTTTGTACCTGCGGCATGCAACTCAAAATCACTTGCTCTTCCACCTACATGGGAGGGGCCCTCGCACCCTAAGCGTGGTGAGGGCATGGCATCTCGGCGGGTGGGGGAGGCGTCATGGTGGTCACAAGGCTGAGACACTTTTGAACCTGCGGCAGGCAACTCAAAATCACAAGTTCTTCCACCTACATGGGAGGGGCCCTCGCACCCTAAGCGTGGTGAGGGCATGGCATCTCGGCGGGTGGGTGTGGCATCTTGGTTGTCACCTGGCTGAGAAACTTTGGTACCTGCGGCAGGCAACTCAAAATCACTTGCTCTTCCACCAACATGGGAGGGGCCCTCGCACCCTAAGCGTGGTGAGGGCATTGCATTTCGGCAGGTGGGTGGGGCAACATGGTTCAACAGCTCAGCAATGGAAGGCTTGGCATCTTTTGGATGGGTCTGCAAGTGGGTTGCTTGGTCACGCTTAGGCAGAGGAACGTCTGCAAAGAGCCGTCGATCGGATGTCATTGGCTCTGCTTTCGATGGGTTTGATCGGCCACTGGTCGGCTTTCGTGGGCTTTCCCAGGCAATCCCACTTTCTGCGGGAACTGTCGGCTCACTCGGGCTCTGCTTGGGTGGACATGCGATCATGGCACCTGAAAGGTTTGGCATTGGCAGGGTTTCGGTGGTAGGCGGGTTGAAATCTGGCATGAAACGGCGAGCTTCATCAATCTTGGTAGTGGCATCGAAAGGAGGTTTGGGGTTGCATTCCACTGGCAAATCGGAAGTCAAATCATCATGAGGAGCATTTGTTGGAATCCTTGGTGCTGGTGTTTTCACATCTCGGGTGGGGCCTCCACACCCTAAACGTGGAAGAGGCATGGCCTGAAAAGGGGGGACAGGGAGATCATTGGGTTCCATGGCTTTCGGATGCAAGGCAACTTCGGCTGCTGGGGCACGAATGCATGCAGGCAATGGAATTTCTTCCTGAGGAATCCCCATAAGCTTCTCATGATGTGTGTCACAACGAACCTTATGCAACTGTGGGCCATCTGTGGCAAACTCTGTTGGGGAATTTGCTGCAGAGACATCTGTCACACTCAGTTTCTTCCTGGCCTTGGATGCTTTGGCTTCAAAACCGCAAACACCTCCCCCTGTGGGAATGGTCCATGTAGGTTGATGGTCGGCAACAAAACTTGTGTCAAGTTTCCGTTTCTTGGATGCAATCATGAAGTCTGTGTTTTCATCAGGCGTTTCGTTTGTGTCTGGCTTGGACTCTTCGGCTGGTTTGGCCTCGGAAAAGATGTTCCCTGGTGCAAATGGTTCGACTCGCATCTGCTCGTCCTGATCGCTTGCACGGGTCGGCTTGGGAACTGAGATTTCAACATGTTCCACATGTGGCTTGGTCTTGGTGGCATAAACCCTGGTTTTCACATGGTCTTGAAATCTCAGTGCATTCGGGTTTGTTTGTGGTCCGAAAACGGCATCCCTTCCTTCAAGCAGTTTCTCAAGCCATTGTAAAAGGTTTTCAAAAGGGTCAATCACTTCAGAAGATCCTGACATGGTTTGAACAGCACGCATGAGTAAAGAACCGATCCATGTTGATTGAATTGGGGAAGCTAACTGCCCCAAGGCGCAAAGGCTCATGCGGAGGTGTGGGCCCCATTCCATGTTTGGAAGCATTCCATTGAAGAGTGCAAGTTCAGCTGGGTGAACATGTCGAAAACATGGGTATTCCTTTTGTCCACAACGAACCATGTCATTCAATCTGACCAACAAACCATGGAGTCCTTTACGGGTGAGGCGGTCATCACTGAAAGGAAAAAGCCTGCATTTGCATGGACATGTACTTAGCTGATTTCCACACGAATGGAGGCTGGTGGCCATTTGGCCCTTCCACGGAATCTCGTTCTGTTCAAAACCTTGTGCATCAAAACGCCCTAACTCGTACAAGTCTAAGGCAAGTTCGTCAAGCTCTTCTTTTGTGCATGACTTGAACTGGTCAATCAGGTCAGCAACCAATGGCATCGCAGTGGAAAAAGGCATGGGCTGCCAAGTCACTTCACCTATGGATGCATGTGTCAGTATGCACCACCATCGGCTTCGGCGTGCTGGCCACAACGTGTGAAGGTGCAAGGTGCCTTGGGCAACCTTGTACCCTGTGATGTCAGCAAAGGTTCTTACTACGGACTGTACCCAAGGGCATGAATGTGCATCGGCCACGCATTCAATGATTATGGCACCGAAGCGGCACAAAAAACCGTATCTCAACACACTCGGAAGGGTTTGGGCCCTCATGTCATGTTCCTGCTTGTTGTCTCCAAGTTTGGAGTACGGCTGGCAAGCTACCCCTGCAGCCAGGGTACCTGTTTGATCGGATGCTTGGCAAATCGGATGCAAAAGTGAGTCTGTACAAACGTCACCCAAAGCTACGGCTGTCGGATGCAGTCTGCTGGCAAGGTCAAGCATGGCCTGGGAGTGATCGCATCTCAACTTCACTTCAAAACCGCTGTGCTCAAGTCCAAAACCTAAGAAACCTGCACCTGAGCAGAGTTCCACCACCTTGGACAGATCCTGAAGGTTGATATACGGTCTGGGATATGCCATGGAAGACTCATTGGCAACCAACCTACAACCATTGTCAGTAGATTGAACTGTAACCCCAGTAATGAGGACAACCGTGGCATTTGAAGGGAGGCACCCTGCAAACTTGACATGAACTCCTCTCAAGGCGGTCTTCAAACAGTGTTTCAGTTGCAAATTGTCGTAAACAATGACTTCACACAACAGTGTAACCTGATGACCTGGCATCAGAACCGGTTCCAGCAGTTGAACATCCATGGCAAAACGACAAACGAGATCCGAAACTTTGTTGAAAACAGGCACACCACTGGAAGGTGCTCGGGCCAGTGCCTATGGGTCAAAACCCTGGTACCTAGTGAACCCCAAAATAGCTGGTAAATGGATGTTCATCCCACTAAAAATGTATCTATAGGTATTGACCCATACCCAAATGAACATTCTGGAATCTCTCTCTCTCTCTCTTCTTCTCTCTGGTAAACTGGGGCTGTTTGTACATGGTTTATCTTCCCATCTGGTAGGTGGTGCCCCCTCCAACCAATTTGGTCAATTGGCATCATGATCCCAGGATGGAACATCCACGTTCAGGGAAGCCACATGGGGACTGAAAATGGGGGTACCCGAATGTTGGCCACTTCAATAGGGAATCTATCCACAAGTGGATTTGGGCTCATACCCCATTTGGGACACATCATAGCCTCTGATAACATATCGATGAAACATGACCATTGCAATAAGTCGATCATCGAGCTAAACGGGCCATAGCTTCGGAAGCAGACCCTAACAAATTACTAGATTATCCGAATTATATTCGAATATATTCGAATGATATTCATATATATTCACATGATATCCCATGACTTCACCATTTTGGGCGGTTTTCTTTACCATTTTGGCTTCAGCATCCCAAGATCTTCCAGGATCTTCCAAGGGGCTGCATGAGGTCATCTTGTGGCCCTAACATCAAGGCATGGTGGTGGTTGTACGTCATGTACAACGGTGCGGGCCGCTTCTCACCTGGAGATACGGCTTGGATCTGGTGAGGATTTCCATGGATTTCCAGTGTCCTGGAATGACTTCCATGGCAGTGCTTGTACGTCATTGTGCGTCCACGAAAAGTTAGTGCCTGTGGCTTCTAGTTAAAGGAAGTCACAATTCATATTTTCATCAGAAATTGGAGAATACACCAGTTATAGCAGTTATAGATGGGTGCGTTCGACGCAGCCGTTGAAGCTACAGTACTGTTCAGCCGCCCAATCGGCCCATCCCAGTAGCCGGTCTTGTTGTCGACCAGCACGATATCCAGCTGAGCGCTCTTCATGTGCATGGTCTTGTTCGCAAATTTCTGCCTAAGGAACGATGCTGGAAGGGTTGAGTTATTTGAGCTATTCAGCTTTGGACCGACAGGTTACGGGTTTCCTGTGGATGAAAAACTGAAGACGTCGAAATGGTGGTGGGAAGGTTAGCCTTGACAAAACTATGAGTGTGGTGACCCAAAATAGGGAATCTTGGACCCAAAGGTTGATCATTTTGACTGCAAAACAACATCTGACAACCCAAAACTGGGGTACCCACAGGTTTGTCATCTTTCGTAGGTAGCTATCCAATTTTGTATGTCAATCATATAATAGTCAATCCATGTCATGTTGATCACTTTGGGTTAGTTCCATGACATTTAAGATGGAACCAAAGAATGACAATGGCACGACTGTCATCGACTGTCATCACCACAGGCAGTACGGCCGCGAATGTATCACCACATCCTGCTGATCATCTGCTGTCTTTGATCCCATTTATGTACCCTCTGGTTATGACTAACATAGCCATGGTATAGATGGCCCACTTTATAGATGGTTTACCTGTTAAAAATGGTGATTTTCCATGGCTGTGTTAAATAACCAGAGGGTACATATATATGCAGTCCCCTCGATTCAATGGATTAAAAACTGACTCCCGAATCCAACTATTTCTAAAACTAAGTCGAATATTCGGAAAGCAATCAAGATTCGTCTACCAGAACTTGGCTTTGGGCAGCCCACATTCAAAATTAAGTGGCCAAAGAAAAGAACAACCAGCCATCGTGGCTGGCCTTGCGCTGGCAGCAACCACTTTATAAAAAAACAACCACTAGTTGTACATGGGACAACAGAGTGCGTGCACAGGAAGAAGATATCTGGACACCGCGGAGACAGCAATTTTAGTTGAGCTATACGACCAACCATCTGTAGTTCCATCCCTTGCCATCAACCGACCAGGGCACACGATGTCTGCAGGAAGGGCCTTGGGAAGAATATATCCTTGGTGCGGACAGACTTGATGGCCACTCATAGATACCCTGCAACAAAAACAAACACTTGCAATCACTTGCAGATGTTGCAGGTTGCTGCAATTTCATTCAAATATCATAAATACCAGCATTTTTGAACTTAAAATCATAAATATCACCATTCAAATATCATCCATATATAGATGCACCATTCAAATATCACCATTCATTCAACATTACAGTAATATGGCAAACAATCAAAGCACCTCATGCATCTATATACTGAAATCACGGTGAAATGACCAGCGACTCAGCTGGCTTTCCCAACTAGCCAGTAAGGGCTCACCCAGGCTTGTCAACTACAGAGAAAATGAGCAACATATTTGGAGCCATCAGTTAAATCACCATCGAAGACGTACAATATCAGCAATAGTTATATATATATATTATATATTAATACTTTATAATATGTATATATAATCATATTTATATAATTATGTATATATATATATCATTTACTTGATTTTGCAGGATAAGAACACTCAAAGTGATCTAATGATGGCCAGCCGGCAAGTTGGGTTGTGCTGCTTGCTATGGCTTATTTCATTCCATCGGGATATTCGATGGGGTCCCAGTGATTTGGGGATTGATTGCATGTCAATCCCAGCTCAATAAACCCCTTGGCTCTTGATCATTGGGTAGCAATGTAGTAGCAAATGATCTCATTTGGAGGGTAAGACGTACCAGGGTTTAATCCATATCATTTCGGGTACATAGTGATTTATCATATTTTTAGGACTTTGCAAGCCCATCGGCATTGAATAGCTCGCCCCGAACCCATGACTGCAGATACTCTGACCTTGGGAATTTCCACTTTGATGTGGTGTGTAATCTCTTAGTGTCTCGTCAATGGCCAATGATTGCATACCCCTAGTCTTGGGTACCCAGCCTATATCAGTTGATATATCTTTTTATGTGGGTTTGTCTGGAAATAGGGTCCCCCCCAAAAAATATGCCTCAGTGTCATCATGTTCCCCACCAAACTGGCCATTTTGGGGGGTCAATCCCCCATTTTCTGACACACCCCATTATTATTATTATTATGTTTGTTATTATTATATATAGTATACATATATATATATATAACTATATATATATACATGATATGTATACACATATATTCATATAGTGTCAATCAAATGATATTACGTTCATGCTCTCCACAACATCTCCACAAAAGACCACGCTCGTCCAGGCTCGGTTGTGCACCTCGCCTCTCCGGAGGAAAATGGGTTCCGAGAAGACGGTGAAGCTCTGCAGCGTTCCCAGCGCAGCTGTCCCTGGGATGGAAAAACCCATGGGAAAACAGGGGGAGAACCATGGGAAAACATGGGAATTCGGAATGGGTTTGGGCATGTTTGTGGAACTCCCTATACTTGGTGAGTGAACATCAAGTATATATACATCATGAATTCCCCTGCACACCTGGCGAATACTATGGGTTTATGGAGATCCACTGCAGTGCCCCACATCATCCCCAACCTCTTGAAAGGAACTTGGAATTTCTTCTTCGGGGTGCGGTGCAGTTGTTTTTTTCAAGCAGAAGTATAACCCTGGTGAAATATATACACGCCTAGAGTTAGGATATGGTGCCCTCCATAAGTATGGCCATGTGCCCACCCAAATGAACTGCAGGGCTCAAGTTGCAAACTCCTATGACTTGGTCTGTCTGACATGGGTCTCTGAAAAGTGGAGATTAACCATCAATTTATTGCCAGTGTATCGGAAAAGTGATGATATAAAGATCCATAAAGCGTCAAATTTGGGGGTACATGGGGTACCTTATTTTCAGACAAACCCAAAAAACTCTCTGGAAAGTCTGGAGGTTTTGGTTCTCACGCACACATCATCCCAGCCTCTGGATACCTTTCGCTGGCAATGGACAATCCAATGTACATGATGTTCTTGTATCAAAAGTCTTCAGAATTACCCTCTGATAATTCAACGGTTGGTGAACTGGAAAATCATCATCAAAAACTCATCAAAATAATAGGTAAATCATAAATCATATATGTAAATGGGTCATTTTCCATGGCTATATTAAACAGCCAGAGAGTATCTCCCGTTGACTCCAATAAGTTTCTGAAACTTTCACCTTCCGGTAGTTTGATCGTGGAAAATCATCGAAAATGGTATCCGGAGAAATGATCATACACCAACCAATTTTATCAACCCATTGTGGATATTATAGGATAGTTACCCTCATTAACAGAGTCTAAATATGTCTAGCGATGTCGTTGTCAACATGGTAATCACGGAAGGTGGTGACATCGTTATGATTTACAGTATCTATGCATATCTAATTTCGTAGCATTCAAACCGGGGAGAGTTCAAACTCGTGCGATTTCCAAGTGTCAAATGTTCTACCCACCTAGAAAGTGATTAATAACCCCAGTTAGTAAGTCCCCCAAGTGGGGTAATCCCATGTACAACTGGGTTATCCCAAATTACTCACCAGTTACTGCGGCAGAAACAATTGGGTTTCCTCACCTACAATCCGCAAGGACAGCAGCAACAGGGCGCTGCAATAGGTCATGGCTGTGACACAAAAACTCTAAGTCGCTCTTGAGACTTTAAAATCGCTGACGTTCATCAATTCCTCGACAACCCTGATTTTGAAAACCTTGAAACGTAGCTGGGATTTTGCAATATCATCTGGAATTTCCGGATGAGATGTGAGAAACACGGCATCTGAAGGAGCTGAATGGAAAATTATCACACTTCTGCTGTGCCCTGCTTGCTCCCATGTGTTGCCACAGTTGGCAAACTGGTTTCAACAAAATCTAACCCAAGGTTTTGTAGTTGCAAGACCCAATATTTAGATTTAAAACATTGTAAACCATCAGTCAAAGTCATTCAAAGTCAACTTACAATTGGATGCTAAGTGCTCTAATCTACCGTTCCCAGGACCTAGAAATATAAAGAGAAAAAAATCGACTCGATGGTTTCCCAACAAAACGTCGTTCCCCTGTGAGTCCCAGAACTCCGGACATCGAGTTTTTTCCCAAACCGCTGAAATCGATCAAACCTTGGGTGGAAAGGTAGAGAGCCATGCGCTGGGAATGGGATGATTTACTATCAAAAACTGGGGTTTCATTGAGGAAACTGCGGGTATCATTATGATATGATATAACCAGAAAGGATATGTCACTAAGAATATCCACTTGGGTATATCTGAAGATGGTGTACGCCCCAAAATGCCATGTTGCCTATTTCAAACATTTTCAAACAACCCCACTATGAGCTCATTGGGATCATCATCGCAAAAATGATGGACCTGAAACAAGTGCTGGAACTACCATTGGACCATGGTTGTTCAACCATCAATAAAAAATAATGAACATGATAAATATGATAGTGACAATGAGAAACCATAGTTGTTACATTCTAACAATACATCAAGTCAAGTAATGATAAAAACTTGTTTTTCATGGATATTATGATATGACACCTGCCCAATAGCCGCGCAACCGCACAAAAGTAAGGCTGTTCGCGTGCCACCAAGTCAGTATCGTTTTCATCTGAGATATTGACACTCCAGAAAGAATTATTTTTTTTCCAAGCACAAATGAAGGTGCGCGGCTTGCCATTGGCTTCGAACCGTCGAGTTTTCAAATTATGAAATAATGGATTTGTGCATATCTAAAAGACTCTAAAGAACTGTCACGGAGCAGCGTTTTTCTTTGTATTTACGCAGAAAGCCGTTAGGCTGATGGCCGAGTATGGCCGGTGACTCTCGGTGACTTAAACGGACCTCTTCGGAGAATAGCAGCCTCCGCCAAGCAATCTATGTCAGCTTGGTTGGGGTGCGGCGGCGCCACTCTACCGAGGGCGTGTGCAGCATCTTTTGCTGTTTCATTTAGTCAACCCAGTTTTGGTCTGCCTACTCCTTTGGTTGGAAGAATTCTGGGTGCGAAAGTCCTGTATCCAAACAGGACTTGTCTAAGCGGATCTGCATGATGATCCCTTCTAAGTATGTGCCCAAACAGCTTGAGTTTTGTTTTTTCCATACAACAGAGATTTCTGTCACGTCTACGTTGTAGCTTTTGGCACGGTCCCTTACAATTTGATTCGTTTGCGTTCTGTCGATGAATGTTGGGGGAGTTTTGAGAATGCGACGAATGCATTTCATTTGGAACGAACCCAACTTGTTCATCTCATTCTGGGTCAGTTGTATGGTTTCAAGTCCGCACATGAGCTTGGATATGACGATTGAATTAACGACACGTAACTTCCATGCAATACTGGTGCGTGCTTTGTCCCACAAATTTTTTAATTGAGCACATGTCTTGATAGCCTTTGCCAAACTTAATTTCTGCCGTGTTACTAGCAGTGTCTGTTAATATCGTGCCTAAATATGTTGCATGTCCCTGCCGTGGTCTAAGGAACCGTCCCTGAACTTGATTGATGACGTTTTCCTATGGTAGTCAGGTTCACGCATTTCTGGTAGTTCAGGTTCATATCTTATAGTAGGAAAATTAAATTTCAAGTTTTTTCAAGAATTTGTTTAAACATGCTGTATGGTCACCAAAGAGAAGAGTGTTGTCCGCATAAAGGATTTCAGAAAAGTATATTCCTGAAATTGGTTCAAGCTGTTTAGGAGTGTTGAGTCTTGCTTTTATATCTGCAAACATAGCCGACATTATAAGAATGAATAAGTATGGTGAGAGCTGGCATCCTTGTCTGATACCGGATTGTTGCTGGAAAACGCTGATGAACCTTCTTCACAGCTGACTCGAAACTTTGGATTAGCATCAATATTCACAATAGCCAGGAGAAAGAATGATTGCTGATGGAATTGGTGACTATATATGTATATAACTTATACAAAATAATATATGTATATATACATATATCTTTCGATTAGCTGCGATTGCTGATGGTCAACTAATCAACAAATTTGCGATTCACAGACCATTTTTGAGATGACGCGTCTCGGTGCTTGGTCGTTAAAAGTTGCCCAGAATCATCGTGCTGACAGACATGGTTGGGTTGATACACACACCGTTAGCTACTTGGAGGACCGCCCCATTTACCAACTGGTGGTTAGTACATCTCCTCCGGCTTGCGGGTTTAAACCATCTGTAAATGGATTACAATTATGGTTAGTAACAACTGACTAAGTGGGATGATCCTCCAAGTAGCTTGACAAATCCCAGTCACCTTCAGAGGGCCTTAATATATTGCAACAAAGTGTGAACCGTCCTCAAATTATGTTGCTGATCACTGTACCTGCTAGAGAGGTATTTTCCTATCCACTGGGTAGGTTAGGATACCCGCAACACAAAGGGCTTCCTTATCTCATCACATCAGGTTTAAATGTGTGTTTTGGCCCATTGGCTGCTCCTAGAAATGAGGATGATCCAACAGAAGTTATGCATAGAAAAATATAATTCAAATATATATGCATATATATATAATCAAAATAATAAAATTAATAAACAGAATAATCATAATAATATATATATACAATGTATATATAAATGCAATGAACATATATATATATATAATAATAATGTGTAGATATAGAATGTGTATATATATGGTGTATATTTATATATTCATAGAGTGTATACACATATACATATATATATTCAACCATATATATATATATGTATTCAAACATATATATATATCTATATAGTTACACATATATATATACATAGTTATATATATATCATTATACATCAAACAAACGGAAGTCAATTAAGTTTTCATAAGTTAAGCCTTAGACAGTACCCAAGGAAAAATGCGTGGGTTCCATGCCTTGAAGTTGGGTGTTCATATGTTGGTACACATGGACATACCGTTGACCTTCATTCATTGATGTTGCAATGTGATACAGTTGCAACTCTCATACCTATCATAACATCTGGATACATCTGGCTGAATGATAGCAACTCACCAACCTGAAAACAGCTGAAATAAGTCTTTTTTTTGGGGGGATGATTTCCTGAATATTGAATCCAATTGCCATCATTCCAGTGACGCCACAGTGTGGTCATTATAATTCCTCCACAAAACATTCATAAGACCAATGAATCATTAGTATTGGTCCTTTAGTATTGATCTTATGCATGTTATGTGGATGACTAGCCATTCAGTATTTAATATAAATACTAAAGGAACTATGCAAGACCAATACTAAATCAGCAAACAAATGCCTGGATCTTGACCTGGCTATGCGCATAGAAAACGCATGAAGCTTCATGGTCAGACTCAACTACGGGTGATTGTATGCTCAGCTTTGAAGAGTCTGTGTTATACGTAATATATCAATAATATACCCACTTGACTTATATTGGTCACACTATTTAATCACATTATTTTTATTTAACCAATGGACTCCCCATGTTTTCGTTACTTAGTCGTTAGTGTAGTTGAGATCTACACCTGAAGAAATGGGGAAACACTAACCCCTGTTTCGCATAAGAATTTTCTGTACTGGAAATTGCGCATTGTTTGGTTTCCATATCAGATTTCTAGACCAAGTTCGGATGATCATGTTCATTAACCACCCACTGAATTGGGGCGCTTGCAAGCTGATGTCTGGAGTTTTCCGGAAGGTATAAAAAAAACAGTAAGCAATCAATAAGTAAGACATGGACTGTGATGGTCGGAATCCCTTCCAGGCTGAGAATTTCCTCTCTCAATGCTTTCGAGACATCAAGCCTTTTGCCACGTGGCAAATTGGCTTGGAATCTGAGAGATCCACCAAGGCCATTGTTTGCCCGGCAGGCCTCACATGGGCTGCATGTGGCACCTGGTTTCACTCCGACGGAGGATGCAGCCTTCATAGAATCTTCTTGTCCCTCTCCAAGATTCCACTCGCAGGCCTTGAAAACGTATTAGTTGCACGATCAATCCTCTGTACTCATGTGTGAACTCCACTCCAATCTCAAGGTTGGCATCGCATTGGTCCAGAGGAACTCCACTATCGACAGGTTCACCCTTGATAGCCTTCTCGGTTCATATTCTGACAATCTGGTTCATATTCTGCAGCTTTTGCTTGATCGTGTGAATCTGTTCGCAGCATACATGATCAGTTTCAATTGCCTTGCGTTCTTTCTTCATGGATGGGGTTTCCCCGAGCATCCATGGGAATGACCCGGATATGACCGTTAAACACAATCATGTTATGGTGATCCCCTAGCTGCCAATCATTGAAACCTTTTTGCTGAGGTACCCACTCCGCTTTTTCGCCGTGTCAAATTGGCGCGGTGACCTGGAGAAAACGGTGGATGTTTTTAACGTTCCCCCTGGTTATTCTTTCACTGTACATGCACCCATCCACAGAACGACGCAAACAATGGGATTAATTACACAAAATCCTTCACTATCATTCATGATCATTCATTCTCATTCATTTGACCTTTCATTTTCATATCATGTTCATTCATTATCTTTCATTACCATTGATTATTGGCAGGTTGGTCCAACTTCTTCAGTGCGGCTTAGTCACATGTCAATTCGTCTCCGCTCCAAATCTGGTAGTACAGTTTCCTTGAGGCAAAACCACTGGTGGATCCGATGGAACATCTTCTAATCAACAAAAGCAAACAACCAGCAACACATGAAATGGTTTCGTGGGGAAATCAAACTCGAGTAATGAATAAACTGCAATAAACTAATATACACCAATAAACAAACATGTTTTGTTTCCTGTTCCATTTTTGCGAACTTATTCAATCGGATATTGGGAGGAACTGCTTGTAGGAGGGTTCCAAATGCAGTGATATCTCATGGCATCTCATGGCATTTCGCCCTTTGCAAGACGACAAAATTGAAGGGGAAACGACGGTTGACAAATATCCGAGGGCGCTGAAGTAAAGACATCCGTGGAGATTTATATCAAAAAAATCACCATCAATCACATCAGAACCAATGGGGCACATGAAAGCATTTCTACGCCGGTCGCCGGTGGTAAATTCTGATGCCGCAACACGCAAAATCGGACGAATTGGCATACATTATCATTTCCCCCCGGTTCACAACATGGAAAAAACATGACGATTATGGTTGCATGCATGAAGGCAGTAAAAGAACAGAAGGCCATCCAAAATTTGGCGACAATTGTCAAGTGCCGCACAACATATCCAAACAAACTGCTTGAGAGGTGTTGATTCAAGTGGATTGAAAAGAACAGCATCCGCATCACACCACGGCTGGTTGGAGGTGCAAGAAATCCTGCACTTTCGGGTTCGAAACAAATATGATGGTTAGTTGTATTACCTTCAACGCAGAAACGTGTTACTTTCAAAACAAACATATTTTGATGCAACAAACTCTTCTCATCCACAAGACGGTTCAAACTTTGTACGAGGACGTTCGGCACACGTGTCACATCTTGGAACTGGCGAGATCTTGGGTGCAGCCCGGCTACAGCAAGTACAGTTCCGCCTGTGACAAACTCTTCTGGGCATCTTCCCTGCAGGCAACAAGCACTAATGACGAGTGCCAATCAATGCTGCTTCGTTTCCAGCACCATATATAATTTAATGTGATGCGTTCAAATTTCTTTGGGTAAGGCCTCACTTCTATCAGCAAGCGCATTTCTCCGTCGTAGTTGTTTCTTTTGGCGTCTTTAATGCTCTGTTTTCCTTTTTGCCTTGTAGAACACATTGGCAAAGAAAGTTTGAAGAGATATGAAAGGAATCTCCTCCATATTCTGGCGCTATGTTGGGGTTCGCAGTTGCGCCTCGTGACATCTCGTGACATCTCGTGACGTTCAACGACGCGGGGCAGCCATACAATTGGTTGCTGGGCCGTTTGCGGTAAAAAATAAAGGCCAAGGCTTGACGGTATGTCCAAACTGGATGTCTAGGCCTAGCATACATCATCTTAACTGAATGGGAGTGTTCAAGCTGCACGCGGAAACTCGAACATGATCAGGAGACGAAAAACATCGAAAAACCAAGGATAGAAAAATGGAACACCTGCCATAAGGGCGCGTTGTGTCCTAGCAAAGCGGGCTTGCCAGAGACTCAAGCAGGTTTGGAATACCCAACCAAACTACAAATATATCATATTGCATTCCATCGGAGTACCTACTCCAACGAGCTGGACAAATTGACTTTGGACACGCACCACCTGATACGCATAGACAGCCTGTACTTTCGACTGCTCCCCAGAGTGCTGCCCATCAAAGCTTCATAGTACTCCCGTGCATCCAACGAGACAGTTTGGCCGTGAGCAAGCAAGCCCATTGCGCTTCACAAAGACTCATTCTTCAACTGTTTAAGCGGTAAATCATTTCATTGACCGCACTGCCAGAAGACCGTCTTCACCATGTTGTTTTTTCCGCAGCACTCCGGGACAGAATGAAAAGTAATTACAGGGACCAATATTGGTCCCACGAAACAGGGACCAAACTACTCAACGTTTTCTCACGCCACCACCCCTTAGCTAAAAAAGATCTTCAAACTTCTGAATAGGTTGTTAATAACCAAAGTTACAAGCCATTTATAGATGGGCTTACCTACTTAAGGGACTTACAAACCAAGGTTTTTTTCAGCTGTTGGTGAGGTGATCCTCCAAGTAGGGACCGATGATGAGGTAAACGGACCTGGTGCCCGTGATGGGATTATACGATTGCAGTATATGCTGGCTACTGGATTCCCTGTTAACAACTAATGGATGTCTCTCCCCCCTTGTGCCTTTGAGAACCAACAGGACAGCACAGGAAAACAATTTTGAAGCACCAAGGTTTCCTACCTGTCTCTGACAATGCCTTTCCAAGCTATTCCAAGATAGTACCTCGAAATTGGAGGGCCTCTTGGCAGGTGGAAGTCTGCTTCGGTAAACCATGACTCGTAAACTATGATTCTTAAACCATGCCTCGTAAACGATGAGTCATAAACTATGCTTCGTAAACCATTACTCGGAAACTATGACTCCTAAACAATATGACGTGTAAGATGTGACTTTGCATGTACTTGCCAGAGGGGGTGGGATTTAGATATGACGTGTAAGATGTGACTGTGCATGTATTTGCCAACGGGGGTGACATTTAGATATGACGTGTAAGATGTGACTTTGCATGTGCTTGCCAAGGAGGGGGCGGGATTTTGATATGACGTGTAAGATGTGACTGTGCATGTACTTGCCAGAGGGGGTGACATTTAGATTAGATATGACGTGTAAGATGTGGCTGCGCACGTGCTTGCCAGAGAGGGTGGGATTTAGATATGACCTGTAAGATGTGACTGTGCATGTACTCGCCAGAGGGGGTGGGATTTAGATATGACGTGTAAGATGTGACTGTGCGTGTACTTGCCAGAGGGGGTGGGATTTAGATATGACGTGTAAGATGTGACTTTGCATGTACTTGCCAGAGGGGGTGGGATTTAGATATGACGTGTAAGATGTGACTTTGCAGTTACTTTGAAGATTTTAGTTGTTGAAAGCTTGGTTGCCGAAGCGAGAGTGAGTTTTGGTTGCCGAAGCGTAGTTGCTGAAGCGAGAGTGAGCTTTGGTTGCCGAAGCGTTTGCCAAAGCGTAGTTGCCGAAGCGTAGTTGCTGAAGCGAGAGGGTGGTTTGGTTGCTGAGCCCTGGTTGCTGAAGCGTAGTTGCTGAAGCGGGGTCTAATCCTCTTGGCAGGGTCCCCAATTTGGTCCCCAATCTGTTTCAAGCTGACAATGCCAAAACATCATCCACTTTAAGCTCCATATCTGGTGTGCATCTAGGTCAAAGTTTGTAGTTCATTATACATACTTTGTATATATATATAATTGATTGTATATGTATATCTCTCTCTATCTTATATACATTATATATATATATGTATTATTGATATATTGTATATAGAATTTTCGAAGGAAGTTTAGAAGTCAAACTTCCGACAATATGACAGATGAAAAGCAGAGATGGGAATAGTCAGAGAAGAGAAGAGAAGAAGAAAGAAGATCAAAAAAGAGAAAGTCTCCGAAGAAAGAAGATTCAGGTGCGCGAAAAGGTAGGAAAGTCGCGAAACACTGTGTTTTTCCAATGATTTGTGGTTCCGGGGGGTCGAAAAGTAGGCTCGCTAAAGCGGCGGGTGCGGAGCCATGTGGTGAGATGAGAGATAAAAAGTTGCACGCCGTTGTGGCGCGAAACACATTTCCAAGTCAAAATGTACAAAGCACCTCAGCTTTGGAGCACTTTTGGAAGTTGCGATGTCGAAAGGCACGCCGTTGTGGGCGAAGCACATTTCGAAGTCAAAATGTACAAAGCACACCATGGTCGGACAACGTTTGGAAGTTGAGATGTCGATAAAGTGCAGGCCGTTGTGGCGCGAAGCACATTTCGAAGTCAAAAGTGGTAAAAACTGAGGGGTACGGAGCACTTTTGGACGTTCAGATGTGGTTTTGTGTGGGCGCAATACTTTAGACAGGTGGAGTGGAAAAATCGCAAAACACATTGGTACTGTACGAGGCCGTCAGCTGTGCACTCAACTTTCCATTTTTAAAGAAAGTCTCGCAGAATTGCTTCGTTTTTGATGTTGTCAACTTCGAAAATTGAGGACGTCTTGCAGAAATGTTTAGTTTTGACGTTGTCAAGTTCAAAAATTGAGGAAGTCTCGCAAAATAGCTGCGTTTTAAAGCTTGCAGACAGACAGACAGACAGACACACAGACAGACAGACAGACAAACAGAAAGACAGACAGAGAGACAGAGAGACAGAGAGACAGAGAGAGAGGGAGAGAGAGAGAGAGAGATAGATAGATAGATAGATAGATAGATAGATAGACAGAGAGAGAGAGAGATAGATAGATAGATAGATAGATAGATAGATAGAGAGAGAGAGAGAGATAGATAGATAGATATATATATATATAGATAGATAGATAGATCGATCGATAGATAGATAGATAGACAGATAGATAGATAAGGTACATTAGGTAGATAGACAGACAACTACGACTACAACTACAACTACAACAACGACGACAACAACAACTACTACTACAACAACTACAAACTACAACTACAACTACAACAACGACGACAACAACAACAACAACAACTACAACAACTACAACTACAACTACAGCTACAACTACAACTACAACTACAACAACTACAGCAACTACAACAACAAAAACCACCACCGCAGCCACCGCCGGGTCTGCAACTGCAATTACAACTACACTACATTACACTGCGCTACGCTAATTACATTGCAGCGCACTACAACTACAAATATACGTGCAACTACAACTACTACACTGCATTGCACAACACTACACTACACTAATTACATTACATTACACTACATCTACAACTGCAGCTGCAACTACAAGTACAACTACCACTACATTGCATTACGCTACACTACACTAATTACATTACATTACACTACATCTACAACTGCAGCTGCAACTACAATTACAACTACCACTACATTGCATTACGCTACACTACACTAATTATAATAATTACACTACACAACAACTACAACCACACTACTTTACACTAGACTGCGCTACACTATACCACACTACAGTACACAACACTACAGTACACTGCAATGCACTACAATATGCTACACTAATTACACCACACCACAACTACAACTGCAACTGCAACTACACTACACTAATTACATCAGATTAGAACTACGGCTTACAATTACAACTCCACTACACTACAACTACAACTACAACTGCACTACACCACACAACATCCAACAGTTGTGGTGAGGTGACCACTGCAACCATTGCAACCACTCCAAAAAACACAACTCCAACCACCTTTCGGTCCATCAGTGGATTCGCTCTGCCATCCGTGATTCACAACAACCAACCTCTCCTATAGGTTTCCTATTTTTGAAACTTCCGCCACCGCCTTGTGCGGTACTACTGGTATAACATACCAATTAACTAATTAACATTCTACTGGCTCAAACAAAACTATGATCAAAACAATGATGAACATGTGAGATCATTGCTGACACCACAGCAGATACCGAAAAAAGAATGGATATCAATCATAGGGATCTCGCTGTAGGACAGTAGAAGGACATCTTTTTGTGTTCCTCACCAAGTGGAAACTGCGCGGTTAACTGTGGTTTTCCCGCTAAAACTGTTATTAACCTCAGCCAACCAGTCATTGCTGCGATCATTTGTGCGCTCAATCATTTTCTGGAAAGTGTATTCGCCCCATTCACAGCTCGCAATATTGGCCTCCCCCGAAAATTCGACTTCACCGAGTTTTTTCACAATCCCACTTCAAACATATAGTATCATGTGTGTTTTTAACAATGCCATAAACCAGCCTTTTTTAATATCGTTTTAACCACATAAATCGATCGTTTCCCCATCCATTTACCGATCATTTTCCGCCATCGGAAACCACCTCCTGATCCCATGCTTTGGCATCTCATAGCCTCGCGTAGGCCCCGAAAAGGAAGCCAGGATTTTTTTTTAAGAGCCGAGCCGACACCCATTGGAATTGATATATTTTGATGTTCATGAATCAGAATTATACATGTATACATATAATATGTATATATTTATACATATATATATAACATATATATATATATATGTATATATATATATATATGTATAGCATATATATATATATATGTATAACATATATAAATATATGTATTATATATATACATACATTGGCGTATCTAATTGCATAGAATTTCACTGTTTGTTGCGGAAAAAAAACAGAACCCACGAATTCTGTAGGAACATCTACCATCAATCCAATTAGCCAACAGCAGATTCACTAGTCATGGTGGGTCAAGGCATAAATAACAAAACAGAACGGTTGGACAAGAATTGGAAACCATTCGAATAGGGATTAACTAATTGGAAAACATGATATACTCAACAACCCATCATTGGAACATAAGCCAAACATATGGAAACAAATCATCTTTAGCTCATCTAATGCATGATATCGAATGATTGGCCCAAGTTGCCCAAAACATGTAAATCCCACAGTATGGGTTTGTCTGACAATTGGGTATACCACCCCAGTTGTGGCAATTTAAATGGGATATGTTTTTAAAACAAAATCAAGATTGGGGTGGTTTCTTCCAAATGTTCCGGAACCAAACCTGGATCAAGTTGCCGAATGTGTACTATATATATATAATATTCCTCTATTATCCCCATTATGTACCTAGTATCCCCCAAAAAAACATAATTAACATAATCAGTCAACAAATAGGCAGTTGGCAAATCAAAGCCAACTTTTGTAACTTGTGTATTATGCGGCAATTGTGGTTGGTTGATATAACTGATTATTCTGGCTGAATTCCAATAATTCACTGAACTGAAAATAGCGGTTATCATACGGCCATTTGGGGATGATTCAATTATCATTCCAGTGAAGTCAGTATAATTCATCCAGATATAAGGATGGGTCAAAACCTATTGTTACCATATCTGGGAATAGCCATCCATTAACCAACTATTTTAGGGTACCTAGGGTGCCAGGGTTTTCACTCATGGCCATAAATATATATATATTATATATATATTATATATAAATTATATATATATATACAAATTATAATATATATATATGTATAATAAATGAATAAATGAATAAATAAATAAATGAGTTATATATATATATTTTACTGGTTTAGTGGTTTAATCCCATATTCAACCCCAGTCGCCCATCAACTGCATGGTGGGATGAAAGGCCCTTGCCACCAGCACTGCGCCGCTGTCGCTGCGGAGCGCGCTGGGGCCTGGGTCCAAGCACCTCGCGACTCGCTTCACGGGTGTGGTGAAGATATGGGATTTAGCCACCGAAAAATGAGGAGAATATACCATTGACACCATGAAATATACCATTGATACCATGAAATACCACGAAATACCACGAAATACCATGAAATACAATGATATATCATGATATCCCCATGATATACAATTGATATGGCGCTTCACCAGCGATTTCATCATCAAAAATTGGGATTAAACCGCATGCAATTTAATCTGGCTGGAAGAAAAATACATCCTTAGCATGGAATCATTCATCTATCCATGAATTTTCAATTGACACGTGCTGGCTTGTGAGTACCAACGGAGAGCATCTAAGAGCTCATGTGCTCATGTGAGGCAGCTGGCTTTGATACCCAGAGTAATCATGGTTTGCCAACATCCACACCACTACAGGATAAGTACATATCTCCACGCTCTGGGTTGGTTGATATATACTGATATGCTCAATAATTAGTTGATATTAGTTGTACTAACCAACTAACATTACCAACAGGGAGTCAACCTACAATTTTGAGCTACTAATTTCTAAAATATTATCTACTAAACTTAAATGTACCTATAGTGTTCCTTTTTCTTGCACGCATTAATGGGATTATCCCACCATCAAAGAATATCCCACTTAATCAAACTTCATCCCCAGTTGATATGACCCGGCCTATATCCCCAATCACTAATTAACTGGATTCTTTCGCTGGTTCCATGCCGATACAGCCCAGGTACCAGAAACCTTCTTGGCGACTGGACTGGTGGGCTGCGAGCAGCTGCTGAACCATACCGGGATGCAGCTGCCAATCGACGAAAATGCCGCCTGCGACGTCGTGGTGTGCTTCGCGAATTGGACATGTACCATCTGGCAAACAAACATAGCTATTGAAAATGACCATTTATAGTTGATTTGCCCATTAAAAACTGTGATTTTCCATAGTTATGTTAGTTTACCAGAGGGTATGTGTGAATAAACCCAGTATGTAGAACATTGATGAATCTTGTAGAGGTTTTTTTACAGAACTGGATCAATATTCTACAAAAAGGGATCATGAGTGGCTGGAGTGGTGGGGGGCTTGCAATAGGTGTTACATGAACACTGTGTTTCTGTGTATATCTAAATGCAAAATCTTGCCGAAAAAGAACATATCATATATACAGTTATATGTGTTCATTATACTCTATAAAAAAGGACATATATCCATAGGCTGTCTCCGCTGTCTCACCTTGTCTGCCACATGTTTCAAACATGTTTTTCCCCAACCCCGCCGAAGTAGGCCAAGAGATGATACTTGGCAGCGTAGTGAGGCATCTTATGGCGGTCGAATTTGGGCACTACCTCAGCGGACTGGCAGCTTTTGACTGAAGGATGGTGGTGAGAAGGGGTTCTCATGCTGACCCAGGCTCAACACAACCCCCGCGCGCAGCTTTCAACAACACACTTGCATTGAAACATGGGTAATGTATGGAAATGTGTTAAACACAAGAATGCACCTACAAAAGTGGGGATGGTTTGCACCATCTATTTCTGGCAAAACTGAGGATGGTCTATTAAATCTATCATGGCCTTTGCCACATTGGGATCTACAATGTCTACAGGACCCACTGCCTGCCTCATCCTGGTACTTCTCACTTCTGTTTTTAACCCCGAAGCCATCGTCAACCAACCGTCATTTACCGATTGCACAAATATGTGTATACATATATACATATATAATATATATAATTATGACATATCGCCATATTCTAGGGGTCAACCCCCTGCAAAAAATGCTTGAAACTCGAAACTTCTCATTGTTTGGTGTTGAGAGATCGACAGGACTTACTTTGTCGATCCCAGTGTCACTGGACGCGAAAACATAGATCATGTGAATCTACTGCCTCACGTTGACATGAACCTGTTGGCTTCACACACTTTTGTTTTAAGCAGTCTGACAATATAACGATATGAATATATATATATATATCCTATTATATTCAGAGGGGTTGGTTGAAACCACCAACCAGATGAGCATGTTGCTATCGATTTTATGGGTGAATCATCGATATGAACTTAACCAATCTTAATATTCACATCTACCTCCACTATATCCTCATGATATCCTTGATATTCCACTTTGATGAAGCCCCGTTTTTTCGGTTTGTCGCCACCAAGACGCCCCCAGAAGCGTTGGCCAGTGCAATGGCTCCTGGTCATGCAACGCCACCTGAATATCAGTTTTCTTGAGGATATAGTGGGGATATACTGTGTTAAACCTAAACATGTACCTACCATTTGAGGATTTATATACAACATTATACGACCCATTTAATTACATATTTGATCATATTGGTATGTTTTTGGGGATGGTGAAAATTCATGTTCATTTTTGAGAATATTTCGTGGATCTATTGCGGTACACCGCCATTTGCACCATCCCCAAATGCCATTCATGGTGGGTTTAGGGAAAATGGGCTTCCCACAGAAAATGTGTTGGAAAATGCCAAATGTCTGGAAATACTGACCCCAAATCATGGCCAGAAATGATGAGAAAATGGCCATGATCAGCCAGTGGATTTACCCATGTGATTAATGGTGATTAATGGTGATTAATGATGATTAATGGGGAATACCATCTTGTACGGACTAGCAGTTTTTGCTATGGAAGATAAACATCTTATACGCAAATTGTTGAACAACCATGTGCCATCATCGAACTAAATGGGCCACAGCTATGGGAGGAATGGGTTCAGTTGGCCCAGTTGGCCAGGAAACGTGGTTCATATAATATGCAACCAACATCAGGTATATTATATACCCGGCCTGGTAATTTGTTACTGTTTGCTATTGAACATGGCCATTTATAGTTGATTTTCCCATTAAAATGGTGATTTTCCATAGTTATGTAAACGTTTACCAGAGGGTATCTTGTTAGAGGTCTTAAATTTCTTAATGTCAACCCGGGAAATCCGTACATCCTGGTTGGTCACTTTGCAGGATAACCCCCAAAAAAGTGTTCTGATTTGCTACTCAAATGGCACTGTCAAAAAGAAAAACAAGGGCTTATTCGCGGATTGACATTACGTGCGATCTTCAAGTTACATCATGAGGTATGGTTATCCCATGTTATCCCACCATCATGAATAGAATTCCGAAAAAAATCCGAATGTAAGGCCCTATTTTCGGGGGAAATAGGTAACCAGTTCCCAGTCAGAAAGGTAACCTATTTATAGTTCAGAGGTAACTGGAAAGCAGAAACATGATGGCGATATTCATCATATACCTATTGCTATATCGCAATGGTTTAAGCCATAATCAATGGGCATTCGGCATTCAACGGGCCAAGGGTCGTGTTCATCCACGTGTTTTTCATGGGAAAAAAGGGACGATTCAGAAATGGTCCGGAGGTGCCAAAGGTGGTTTTTCTTACGTGAGCAATGGTGAAACCCCATCAAAAATTGTTGGTGCGTGGCGATTGCACAGCTGTATCATGCTGTATGTGAATCGTCTGATGAAAGTCCGCAGATACCAAGCAGTAAAGCCAGGGTGATTGGGCTCTATTTCATCTATGGATTCATATACCCACACGACAATTGATCCATATTCTTATTCATCAATCCATCAATTACCCAGTATGATAATTTACCATAATTTACCCACAAGTTCTGCGGATTCCTTATTTATCATGAACCGTCGCCGGATCCGGTAGAATTTGTTACTAAATACCCACCAAATCCCAAGACGCATATAAAACATGATAAATTCAAAAGAAACCTACAGTATTCTACTCAATTCCACTGTTCTTGGTGTGAATTTCAATGTCAATATATGTCAATGCATAAACCAACACATCCATCCATTGCTTCTCCACACATCTCCACACTGTGCCATCCACACAATTTTTGCCATCCTCATCAGATGTTTGTTCAACCCCAATTATTTTGGTGAAATTTCCGCAATGGTTGTCGACATTTCTATTTTTGGTCTTTATTGTGGCTTGAATCCCAATTCTTTGGTTATATAATTTTTGGGCTTAAACTACTACCTTTGCTGATTCAATCCCAATTTCTTCTCACTTCAACTAATTATACCACCTTCCCATATTTTTCCCCTTCCCCTTCCAATCTCCAATTTTTGGTAACTTCATTTCTCATGTCAAGCAGCCGTCAGTCTGTAGGGCGTCCAGAGTTCCACGTGCCAGTCGCTGGGCAGGGCCTTCCGCCAGCGCAAACGTTGCGCCTCCGACTCCCCGTCAAAGCCGCAGTGGACCGGCCGTGTGAAGAAACATGGCAGGAGCCTGCAGGGTGGTGCCCAAGTTCGTTGGCTAAGTTGAAAAAACCATAGGAAATAGGAAAATTGGGATTTCATGGGCTTTACGGCTGATTTATGATAGCTAAGTTGGTTTATAAGTCCAATAACTATGGTTTATAATTAGTAATTAGGTGATATATCTACAGTTAATGGGAGTATAACCCATTTCTGGGGGGCACCACCTTGTGGTGGGACTTTTCCGGGATTTCATGGAGATCTCGATGGGGATTTGGGAGCTTGGTATTATTATATACAATTGGAATAAATCTGTATATAATTGGAATATCTATAATTATAATGGTATTCCAATTATTGATTTGATAGCACTAATCTGTACAATTGGAATTTTGCAGCAGCTTCCCCAGCATTCATGGTGTTTTTTTGGGACCCGCATTGTCTGGTTAAAACATGTTTGGGACCTGCGCAGATTTCTGCGCAGAAATGTGAGCCATTCACCAGTCATCAACGGCTGGTCCAATGATGTCCCATGCCTTTAATATGAACAAACGGTGCAAGACGGTGCCCCATAGTTGGATTGTCCCCATGAACAATTGTGGTCAAACTATTAATTATGATATGCGTATATATGCGTAAAAAATGTTATGATAGGGATTGGGCTAAAGTGTCCCGTAGATACATACAGGTCTTAGATATGGATACGTAAATATGTATATATATATGAAAAAACTATCTGCATATATATGTTAAACCATTGTATAAGATATGAATGCACGCAGTGCATCTATGTATATATATATAATATTATATAATATGGATATTATATCGGCACAACCTGACGTTCGTCCAGCATATCAAAATGCCCATCACTTCCTATGTTTTCGGTTTTTCAACATTCTGTACTGGAATTAAAAAAAAACACTTGTGACATCTTCCAAAATCGTCTTGGGGCTGCCCTCTGAAAATGTGACCGGGTACACACCATAAACTATACTGTAAGTTCATCTCCACTTCAGAACGATGGAGATGTTACGGCTTAGTGCTTTCAAGATTTGAAGATCATACATCATTCATTCCTGACAGGAAAAATCAAGCGCCATGTCACGAGCAGTTTGTATGTTTCCAAAGCAGGGTGGACATCCCACAGACCAAGCTGCGTCCCAGCCAGGGCACATATGTACAATCTTTGGTACTGCTGGTGCCGACCACATTAGGCTGGCCACTCCCTGCCTGGATCTGTCGGGAAGTGTCGCTCAAGGGGATATTGACCTAGTTATTCAGACATCTTTCTGTGTCGCTTTAAATGCTTCCGCAAATCGTCATCTTCATTTTCATATTCATCTTCTGTATTTTCATCTTCATCTTCTGCATCTGCATCTGCATCATCTCCTCCTCCTCCTCATCATCATCACCACCATCATATGCATCATCATTTCATCATCGTCGTCGTCGTCTTCTTCTTCATGTTCATCTTCATCATCTTCTTCTTCAGCATCATCGCATGATCTTCTTATCGTTCTTCTTCATCATCATCATCATCAACAACATCACGCATCAAGTATCAAGCATCACGCAACAATCATCAATCAATCAATCGATCAATCAATCAATCAATCAACCAACCTACCAACCAACCAATCAACTATTGAATCACTCACTTGCTCGTTCGCTCCCTCATCCACTAAATCCCTGACTCACTCGCTCGCTCACTCAACCGATCAATCACTCAATCAATCGCTCGCTCACTCAACTGATCAATCACTCAATCAATCGCTCACTCACTTAATCACCTATCCAAGCAAACAAGCAAGCAAGCAGGCAGGCAAGCAAGCAAGCAAGCAAGCACTTGCTGGATCACTCATTCAAAACAATCAATCAACCAACCAGTCAACCAACCAACCAACAAACCAACCAAGGAATGGATGAATGAAAGAATAAATAAATGAATGAATGAATCAATGAGTGAATGGATGAACGAATGAACGAATGAATGAATAAATAAACGAATCAATCAACCAATCAATCGATCAAGACAAAGCAACCTTGTGCCAGCAATGTTTGCTCTGGCGCCAAAACAACATCGGCTTGGACAACCAATCTATTTTATTTTTTTCATCCTTTTTCGAATTCTCCCAAAGAGAACATACGAAACCTGATTCGCTTTGTGGGTGCCCCTCCTCTCAAGATAGGTTGAACAGTCTTTAGATCTTTAGGATTCTTTAGGAAGTTATCATTTGTCACTTTTTTTTTAAAAAAAATCACTTATCCTAATAAGGTTTTATATAATAAGTTATCATTTTGAATAGCTATCATTTGTTAACATTCATTTCCGTACAGACACAGATCTGTTCTTATCCTCATGCTGTTGTTAATCATCGTCATCATCAAGGCTCATCATTTTAACCTTGATACGTATCATCATTATGTTTTCATAATTCCTTACTACTATATTATGGTCATCATTATTGATGTTATAACTACTATTACCGTCTATTATCTACTATACATCATCCACTACTACTGGGAATTTCTTAACCTACGAGACCCCGGGCCCCAACGGGCTTCCGACATTCAAAACCAACGGGCTTTGGAGTCCGACATTTAAACAACGCCCCCCAGGCCCCAAGTCTCATCATCATATGCACCAGGGTCAAAACATGTTTTTTTTGGAGTATGTTCATCCATCCATATCCATCCCATTAATCCAGCAGAAATATTCCGGAAAGCGCACTTGCCAGTAGTGGATATATGTATATATATATATTCATCCCTGAAAAAATGGATTCATGACCATCCCCCAACCGGCTTTATCCACTTTGTTCTTGTGGTTGTAAGCCACTTGGAAGTTTCAAAAAAAATGGAGGTACCTGAAGTCACCACGGGTTTCAATACTAAGTCATGCTCTTTCCATGACTTAAATGACTTGGGGATGAACCGCCAAGCATCACATCAACCATCATCAACCACTCGACCGACCAGCTCGACCAGCTCAAAAACTCGCACCTCTTGTCCTGCTGCCGCGCGTAAACCAGGCGAATGCTGTAGGTTTCTTGGCCCCCAGGTATCCCAGCCACCTGGCTCGGTGAATCTTGGTGATGGGATCGGGACCACTATGGATCCATCAGATCATCAGGTTCTGAAAAGTGCAGTTTTAGTGCATAATATTTGGATAATATTTGGACAATGGTTGGATAATCCATAGTGGTTGTACAATGCTATACAAGATTATATAAGAATAGCTGGACGATTGTGATATAGCAATAATATGCAATAATGATCCTTGGATATTAACTGGAGAATAGTTGGACCATGCTTGGATAGTCATTGGAGAACACATTATGCTTGAAATAGTGTCAACCCTTGATCTTTTTCACCCTGGTTGATCAAGGATCGTTTCTTCTTCGCAGTGATAGTTTGCTGGTTGAATGGTATCCAAAGATTTTTGTAGCGCCTGGAGTATCTACCACCGGCACCAAATCCTTACTTTTCAAGGATAAGCATTTGGGCATCGAATTTTGAGCAAAGCGCCGGAAAAGGATCTATATATATATATATATAAATAAAGCCCGTGCTTGGTGCGAAAAAATCTCCGCTGGTTTTTGGTCCATTGCCATTGCTGGTGAAAATGTCGATTCTTAGGGATTCGACCTCTCTATATTTGTTGATCAAATTGTAGTTTTTTAGATGGTTTAAATCAATTCAACTCCACATCTGCTGGGTCCAGGTCCATTCAACTCCCGATTTTTCTGGGTTTCACTGTGAGTTTCACTCCTCATTTAGCTTCAACTCCCATCATGTTGGAGGGTTTTTACCTTCTGCCGCGTAAACCATGGCAACTCTGTGGCTGAAATCCCACACCTCATCGAACTGCCTTCCACTCTCGTAGTACCCGACCATGGCGAGGGATTTCAGAAGCTTTCGAGCTCTTTCACGGGTGGCAAAAGCCTAATGCACGATGGGAAATGGGCCCTCAATGATCCCAGCAGATCCCACTGATTTTACCTATGGATCCTTGGGTTACTTGGAAATCATCACTACTAAGACTATGGCTGCTAAAATGAGTCATTTGACTTTCAGGTGATCTAACTGTAAGTTTCAACATGGGGAAAACAGATGAAAACACTGGCTGTACCCTCTGGTAAACACTGTTGGCAACCGAACATCATCATTTTTGAATGGGTACATCATCTACAGTACAAACGGGGAAATGCCCATTGACAGGGCAAATAAATCATATATTGTGCGAATTGTGCAACAGGAAAAATTGCAAGGGTTCCCATATATAATGCTTCCTGGAAAATATGCAGTGCGTAAAGCGAAGCGGTTGTGGGAAGAACCAAAACTCTGGTCAAATCCTTCAAGAAACGCGGGATTGAACCACCCAAAACATCGCTCTTGCGATTCCGCTAGATCTGGCACTTTTGGATGACCAGTAATTTGCCACAATCATCCATCTCCATCGTGCAGGCGTGCAGGTGCAGTGTTTTTAGTCATCCCTGAAGACTGACATATGCAGCTTGTGGGTGAAAGCACCAATGAAATCAGATGAACTCAGCAATTTTGGCCTGATATGGCCTGGTGATGTGTAGTTCACAACACCGAAATCAGAAATGCAAGAGTACCTCCCGGTGGTAAGGCTTGTCTGGCAGAAAATTGATTGGTGCTTTCTGGTGCTTTCATATTTACAACCTGCTTAAAACAACTGTGGGATCATCCGTAGGATGACAAGGATGAACAAAAGAGCTACTTGAAACCACCAAGCAGAAAATGCATCACATCTATCTTCTATATATTTCTATATCATCTATACTGAGATGACTTGATGGCAAACATGTTCCCCCACATGAAATCAAGTTCACTGTTTCACCATGTCCTGGGGGTCGCCGAAAGGGGGGAGATGCCATTCAAATGGGAAACAACATGATAAACATTGATACCCTCTGGTAATTTAACATAGCTGACATAGCTATTGAAAGTGACCTATTTCTAGATGATTTACATATAAAAAATGGTGATTTCCCATAGCTATGTTAGTTTACCAGAGGGTAAACCATCAAA